AGCTCACAGCTCTAAACCTAGGCATTTTTCAATCATATGCCTAATCACTATGTGTCACTGTGACTCTCAAGTATGGTCACAAGTTCGTTTAAATTCGTTTCCAAAACCAACAAAATAATCAAAGAAAAACAAAAACATAAACGTGTCAGGACACAAAAGAAAAATAAAAATGCTGCCACCCGAACAAGGCAGAAGTCTGCATATGTTGGCTTTTAATAGCATGCAGCTTGTAACATGGTAGACTAATGTGCCTGTGTTAATTCAGCTCCATATTATTGTGTGAAGTTGCACTGGGTTGGGAGTGGTTTTGTGTTTGTCACATTTTGGTGAGCCAATGGCTGGAATGGGGTTGGACTAATTAGAGGCAGGTGTACTTGATTGCACTGATACACTGGTCTACATATAGCCCACACTACAAACACTGCTGTGTTGTTTTGTCTCTCTGTGCAGTCCAGGGCCTATTATATGCCACAGCCTAAAGGCAGCAGAGTTCCAGAGGCTTGAGTGACCACTGACTATATGCTTGCAGGGTGGTGGGTCTCCAAGTACAACTTCTAACCCTGTTAAAGGCAACATGTGGAGTGCAACTTGGCTGTGTGGCATAGCTGGCTCTGGCCTTGGGACTGTGTGTTTTTATACAATTCATAAGTGGGACACTGGACTGTTTTATCTTTTATCTCTTGATATATTTTTTGTCAACAAATTATCTTTTAGAATTTTATTGACTGACATCTTTTTGCCCACGACTGAGACGGTTGGTCAGACCTAGAGTCTTTCTTTGGGTGTGTTACAGCAGCTTCTGCTCTAAAAGAAACAAATAAATAAAAAGAAAAGAAAATGTGTAACATGCTCATCAGCTTAGCAGTGTCTACATATTTAATTCAGCTTCTCAATCCTGTAGTTTTAGCTGTTGTCTACAGGGTTTTGCTTATTGGTTGTTATTATAGGTGTGCTCTATATCTCAGCAATGTGTCATTCTAGGATGATAAGTTTCAAGCTGGTCAAGTGCCTCTATGCACTTCATTAGTTTAGTTATTCTCCGTATTTTCTTCATCTCACATGTCATTTCACTGAGTTTCAGCAAACCTTAAGCTTGATGCAGACTACTGCTTAACAATTATCCACCTCACATCATAACCGATTAAGGTGCCTCTTCATATTAATATTATGTCATTGATAATATTATACCCTTTGTCTTATATAACAGCAATAGCATATTATAATATTTTATTAGTGTGTACCATTATACTACTCCTGAGCCAATTTGTTAGTTAGGATCATCTTATTCAGCAAACAGATAATTTAGAATTCATCCAATCTGCGGTCACATTTGTTCTCTCTGTTGCATGGCGGACCAGGCAGGTCTATTATAATATATTATTTATATTTTATTTTGTATCCATCAAGGGCTTCAGATGACCTGCAGAATCATCCTTTTCCCAGGGTGGAGACAGTTACCTTTTCACACACTGTCCTTGGCTGAACAGTGACACAGCCTTAATATACTTTATTGATGTTATTAAAATATTTTCGTGTGACTTATTTGCTTTATATTCATTTTATACATGCTGGGCATGGTCATCATGCCAACTGTGTTTCATTGTTAATATCACTTTACAGGTTGTTATCCTTGCTATTATTAATATCAAATACTCTAAAGATCATTTCTACTGTAATTTTCCCTTTGTTTATCTTTATTTCGTACTTTGTATATTTATATCTACTCAGTGGGGTCTGTTTTCAACCCTTTTAAACTACTTCAAACTACTTTGATCTCTAGTTTTCACCTAATAAGGGATTATTATGTTCTTCCTGATATGGGTGTTGCTGCAGATGCGGCTGCAGGAATGAGTGATGGTTTACTAAAAGGATTGTGGACACTGCACAGTGTCTCGTCTTCTGGTTTTACTAAACTGGCAGTTGGATTCTGTTCTCCCGACTGTTTATATTTTGTTTTCTTAAATCTCTCAGTTTACAGACACTGTTTTTGTCCGGCGTCTGGACTTTTCTTTTCTCACCACTGCTCGTCAGCAGGAGTGAGTTTTAATTTCACTTGCTTGATTACCCATCTTATTTATGTATTTACTTATTTTTGTTTAAGTAATATATACACAATACAGCTGCTATCACCTTCGCTGGTATTAGAGACGAGAGTGGTTGCTCACACGCCCTTCTACTTTCGGACTATTTCCAAAAGCGGTGTGAACTTTACGAGACGGAACTCGACCGTTCTCTCAACTCACCAGCACGTCAGTGAATAGCAGTAAAAGAAAAACACAGTAGGAGCAGCTCAGTCTCTTATTGGACCGTGAAAATTCAGCTTGCTCCGTTAATTAAAACAATACACACACATACATTCACATTCACACTTATTCGCGCGATCGGAACCCTTATCATAAGGGGAGCTGCCAGTCTTTCTGTAGACGAGCTACTTATTCCCTTGACCCAGCTGGGGGAGCTACCCAGAGCTCCAAACCTAACCCACAAGAGTGGGGAGCTTCCAGTCGACGAGCTCCAAGCTACCAGCCGACGAGCTACTTTAAACCCACAGAAGTGGGGAGCTTCCAGTCGACGAGCTCCAAGCTACCAGCCGACGAGCTACTTTAAACCCACAGAAGTGGGGAGCTTCCAGTCGCGACGAGCTACTTTCGCTATTTTAAATTCCCTGAATTTAAAATACGATTTTACGCAAGATTGTGTCAGTGTGTCTGTATCTACCTGGTCAGTGTCGCCGGGTCTGGTCCACCTCGATCGGGCCCCACCACCGTGGGTCGCTTTCTAAGAACGTTGGCCAAGACTCGAATTTAACGCCCTTGGTCTTTGACCACACACCTAGTGTGTGGGCTGTCGACAGACGAGCAACGTGGACTGGTCACGGAGATGGGACACGATGGAGGCGCTCCGGCTCCGAAGGACCAAGAAATGTTGGGGGAAAACTCTGTAAAAAACCCAGGAGAAATAAAGACACAATGAGACAAAGTTACTTTCTTTATCAAACGTGTACACGGGTGAGCTGCTAAGAACAACTCACACCATGCACAGTGGCTTGGTAATTTTTATAGGAAAGACAGTGAGAACAGGATAAGAAAATACAAAACAAATAAAATAAACAACTCCATATGTGGCGCTAGTCTCGTCAGCAGAGAGCTGGGAGAAGGCTGTGAGAGATAAAACAATCTAAAACAATATGTCCCAAAACAGTATGTCTTTGCTGAGAAAGTCTAAAAAGATAATTCTAAACTAATCTAACCATAGACAAAAGGGCATGCTTGCACATTTAAAAGAAGGTAAAGAAACATAGAAACATTTTTCCTGTAACAGCGCTCTAAGTAGGCCGGGTCCACTGTTCCCCTCTGTGTGAGTTTGGACCTTTCTGGCTTACTTTGCAGGCTGTGTGTTTTTCTAAATTTTTACTTTCCTCATTTGTTCTTTTCCAGTCATCACTGCCATCTGATTAAGTTTATATGTTCCGATAATTGCTTTCGTTTCCTTCGTTTAATCACCAATGGTTTTTGGTTCCATCTCCTTTGTATCACACATCAAAAGAAATAAAAATGACTGTGTGTTTGACTTTATTCAGGGTGATAAAATTTACCAGAACTGTAAAAAGTGTTGGACATTTGGACCCATTTTAAATTGAGTAGTTTTAACCAAAGATTTGAACCATTATTCTAACCCTATAAAACCTGAACCATGACATAATTGGTAGAATTTTTTAATGCTGAGTCTCTTCAACTTTGTGACAGAATTTAAAAAAAAGAAATTTCATAAATTGCATTAAGTTCGATAGATGCTGAACACGAAACAAAATGACTAAGTATGTTCTAATAAAACTTGGAAATAAGAGCTAAGTGTGGTAGCGTTGTCTTTCATCTTTCATCTCATTCTTGAATAAAAAAAAGTCTACAAAACTCATTAGTCTTTCAAAAAGGGAGAAGTCTATAAACACAGACTTGTTCGCTCATTTTATTTCACCTTTTGACAAAACCCCCCACCATGATAAAAAACAACAACAACACATGAAATCACCTGCTTGTAAAAATGCTTGATAATTTTTGCTGCATATGCATTACAACAAACACAAAACAAATACAATCTGAAAACTATTCAGCTAGAAAATGCAAATCTGTGACATGATCATTAATATTGAACCAGTTAATTACAGAAAGACTAAAATTCATGTACTACAAACAAACCAATAAAAACACAGAATATATTTTTAAACTGATTTCAATTTAATTCGCATCTAGTCCCATAAATATAAGAAATACTCCATAAACTGAAAACACGAATTACTTTTTACTCTGTTTATTATACTCTTGAAAAAAAAAGAGTGGCTATGCTAAGATTAAAAAAGCAAACACATGATCTTACATGCTTCTAATGTTTACCTTAATTTCATATTACATATACATTATAAGAAAGACACAAAAAACAGAAGAAAACTATTCAACAAAAAAAGAAAGACCAGTCAAAGATGAGGCCTAGACTTCTAGACTTTAATCACTGACTACACAGTCAGATTTCATGGCAGTTTCTAATGCACATCCTTTGAATTTCCTAAAGAGCCCAGAAAAAAAACTCAGTGAGAATAACCTATATAATATATATTACACAGCATGAACAACAAAGACATGTGAACTAAATCTCTATCATGGTGTAAAATATCTTAGAAAATGTATTGTAATTTGCTGTATTTGAATCTCTTTAAGCACACAAAGAGATTCAAAACACTGAACTGTGTTCCCTCAATATATTCTGGATGCAAGTAAAAAGTAAGAAGTAAAAACTTCAGTAAAGTTAAACACTTGTACTGCAAACATTGCTGCTTATTTGAATCATGTTACTTTCCTAATTGACGGAAGTATGATGTGATTTCTGCTGCAATACAGTTTTCCTAAAGCGTACAAATAAAATATCTAATTTGTTGTTTTACTCAGGAGAAAAACAGGAGATGAAACTTTTCTTGTTCTCATTAGTTTTGTATTTAAATGTAGGATTTAAACAGCACGATGGTTGGAATACCTAACCTCACAGTCAGTGTCATTCATACGAGGACGGGAGCTGCAGAGGAGGCCTCCTCCCAGGAACAGCAGTCCTGCAGAGCCCCAGCCGATGTAAAGCGATGATCCCAGCTCCCTCTTCTGAGAAGCGGACCAGAGTGGGTTGTAGAAATCCTTAATCATAGCGTGGGCTGTCCAAGTTACAGGGATTAGGAGCAAGACACCTGCAATGATGACGATAACCGCAGAAGCTATAGTCACATTGCTATTTTGTCTTTGATGCATTATACAGTTACTGCACCTGTACCCAACTACAGCAAACAGGATCCCAAAGAACCCTAACAGGATGGCGATGATGATGAGCGCTCGGGCAGCCTGCAAATCTTGAGATAAGGCCAACTTCGAATCATAGACCTTACACTGCTTCTGGCTCGTACTCTGGACCACACAGCTCATCCACAAGCCCTCGTGGATTGCTTGAGCTGTGACGATGTTGGTACCAATGAAGGCTGTCACTCTCCACATGGGGAGCACACAAGTGATGATGCTCCCCAAAAAGCCGATGATAGCCAAGACCAAACCCAGAAGCTTACAGTCAGCCATCGTGATGAGATCTGCTGATCTCTTCAAAGAGGAAAGATGGTGTGTTCTTGAGAGCTGCAGTAATTTATCTGCATGAAAGTCAGGCAGGAAGTGGTTTTTAGGTGCTTGTAATAATTAAAGGAGAAGTTGACTGCGTCTTCACTGATGCATGCAAAGTTACATATAAAGACCAATCACTCCCCAAAAGAACATTTCATACAGAAAATCTGTATGTTAGATATTAGCAGATTTAAAAAATCAATCAATCAATCATTTGAAAAAGATATGGAGTTATTTATTGGATGACCCACACAGACTTTTCAAGAAATCTGTGAAATGGTAAGCGGACTGATTCTTCTTTTCTACTTTCCCAGAGCACTCAAAGCGCTTCAGACAACATGCCTCTTTCACTCATTCACACAAGCACTTTTTTCTGTTCTTAAGTGCTTTCTAACAGTCACACACATTCAAAAGTGCAATGGATGCATCCCCTTGCGTTAGATAACTTTCTGGCATTACTCCATAACTCTGAGCGCTGTTCCCAACATCAATCATTTTAATTGGGTCCTTTTGACAGTTTTAAGGGCAAAAGTCAGATATCAAACATACTGCAGACAGAAAAAAATGAATCCTCCTGACAGCTTTGTCAGGTTTGCTGCCAGGGGTGGGCTACTATATCTGTTAAAGAAGGGTTTTTCACAACTTTGGCAACTGGAGACAGGCAAAAAGTGTCCCCGGTGCACTCTCAGGTGGTCAAAATTTCTTTACTTCATGGGTTAGAGATGGGTGGTTCACCACCTTCTGGCAGCGGATAGGCTCCCAGGTGCAGCTTAGTGGGACCAAGTTTATTTAACTCTTTGTTTGGACTAGTTACCACTGGCCATAATACAATCAAAGGTTACTTTTTGTTCCTAATCACTACACTTCAGACAGTATTGATCACATATGCTCATTCAACAAGTGGCACAAACTTCATTAATATACTTGTGAATAATATTTGATCTAAAAGTGTGGGTCTAAACATCCAAGTGTAGGTATGTATACAGTGTATACGAGTACATATGGTGACATAGTACATATGTGAGTATATGTTCAGTGTAAACAGGTATATATGTCATGGTTGATTTCCATCCTCTACACCGAGAGTACACTGTTTATACTGTCTTTATATTGGACACTCTAAAGTTGGTATGAAGGTGGAATTCAGTGAATGGATCTCAGCATCATCACCTAAAATTCATATGAATATCTGCTGCACTTGATGTAACACAACTCTGACCCAACTCTCCGCACAGGTGATGATGCTCCCCAGAAAACCGATGATAGCCAAGACCAAACCTAGAATCCGCCTACAGCCAGCTGTCATGATGAAGCTAAGCTGATGGTTTTTCTTGAAAGCTGCAGAAAAGACTTCTGCAGGAAGTGGCTGAATCTGGGTTCCTCACTTAAGCATTACATTTTTTACTTTATACTCTGAACCACATCTCTGTATAACCAACCTGAGTGCCTTCTTGGTAATTACCATAGTGTTAAACTACAGATTATCTGTTTCAAATTATCAGTGTGACGTTGTTGGGTTGTTCAACTTCACAACTCTATAATTGTGAAGCTTTCAGACTCCCAATCACCACACCACTGCCTTTGTGTTTGTAACATCATCATTTGTTCTCTTTTCTCTTTTTGCCTCACCTCACCCTTTTCCTCGCCTTGCACTGCCACAATGTCTTTGCTTCAGTTTCACTGAAATGTGAGATTTATTGACAGCAGATGGTAATGTTAAGTTCCTGGAAAGGACATATGGCACACATGGACTGACATGTTGGTGGTTTGAATGATATCAGGTTTATCTTTATCTCGGGAAGCCCTCTTTGCAATTTGTTGCTCCGTTCCCTGTTCAGCTTGTGATCATTTTGTTTTAGCATGAGATAGCATACAACTATTACTCACTTTACTGAATTGTAGAGGGGGACATCCAAATGCTCTGTGACTTGTGTCAAAGTTATTTGATGAGTACATTAGTTTCAAATTAGTATATAAAATATGTGAACACTACTTTTCTGCATTTACAGTACAAAACAAAAAGTATAGCAAAAACAAAAATCCTAAACAGCCACATTAGCAAATGCAGACCTTGATTAATAAACAAATTTAAAAAACAAATAAATAAGCAAAAAAGAAAAATATTTTCAGAAACAGACAATCAGATAAGACCGTGCAACTAAAGATAAATATGTGTATTATAAAATATTGTGTATTGTTATGACTGTTTGTTTTTTCTTTGCTAAAGAAAGGCATAGTTAAACCTGCTCCACTGTATCTTTTTGATGCTTACACTTACACATCCAACTGCTACTACATCATTTTAATATTGAAAATGATCTATACCAAAATGTGTGTGTTTCCTTCCACCCCTATAAACAAAACATCAAAATAGTAAAAAAAAAAAAAAAAAGGTAAACTTTCTTTGGAAACAGACAAACAGCAATAAACAAATTAGATCAGTCAGTCTTCACATGTAAATGCTGGGTTTGATTCTAATCTGTTGAAGCGTGAAACATTTAGCAGAGGAAATAAGCACTGAAAGTAGGCTGAACTATATAAAGAACAACTTAGAGATAACCGCAGTCTAGTGATGGGATTTCTGGCTCTTTTTAGAGAGCCGGCTCTTTCGGCTCCGAACCGGCTCTTCTGGTTTTTTTGTTGCTTTAATTAATTTCTTATTAACAATAATATAAAATTATGCACAATAGGAATTACTAATGTAAAAAAAAAGTGGTTTTATTTATATATGTTTATATATAAATATTTATGGTGGCCTCTTGAGACAAAACACGTACAAACTCCAAAACACATTTCTAGCGTTAACTGAACTTCCAAAACAGAGCTACCCAGATCACTCAAATTACACAATTGAAAGCATATGTGTATTGTTTGTGTATTTATACACAAGCACTGTATATATTCAAATAATTTAAAAAAGAAAATGTTCATTTACCTGTTACTACCACACACCAAATCGGGTCGTTGGTACTTCCTGGCTTGTGTAGCCACTAGGTAACAAAAGCTCAACACTGCCCCTAGCATCCTGGAGCACTTCTGTTGTGATTTGTACGTGCTTTGGAGTTTGCACATGCTTTGTCTCTAGGGGCCACCGTAAATATACTTTTATTTATTCACTCCACATTAAAATAAATAAATCATATAAGACAAAAACCAACTATTCACAGTTCAACTTTTAACTAATTAAATTTTCAGCTTTTTCCTTTTAAACTAATTTAAAGTGAAACAACACAAAACGCTGCAAACCACAACACAATTAAATATAAATTAAAATATGAAAACAAAAAGAAGATGCACATTCTCTGTCATATGGACCTGCATGAATAAACTTTCTGAATCCTTTATCATCCGCAACTGAAAATAGTTGTGGATGATTACTATACCTTTCTAATGTGACCCTGGCTCTCTTTCTCTCTTGCTCTGTTCCTGTGCTACTGCGAGTGTAACTACCGCCCCTCCCCCCTCTTCCCAGTGTAAAGTACAAGGCTCGCGTGCAGAGTGAAGCGGAAAAAAAGTGCGAGAGAGAGGGTGAGAGAAAGAAAAAAAAAAAAACACAGCTCGCGATAAGGAGCCGGCTCGCGTCGTCCACGTCAAAGATCTGGCTCTAAGAGCCATTTTGGACTGCCACATCAAACAGCAAAAGCCACAAACGTTTGTAGCAATGGTTTGATGCTCACTTAACTTTTTTTTTATTTCAAGCTATGCCTAGAAGAGTAATGAAAAAATAATAAAGCAAAGAAAAACATCTTACTTCAACTTTTATTTGATTTTTGATTTGCGGTTTTCTCATTAAAGGATGATTGTGTCTTTAATAGACTAATAATCAGACCTGTTTGGCACTAAATTATATTCTAAACTGAAAAAGAAGTGGCCTCATGGTGGTTCCTGTATTTCCCCCCACTTGTGAGGCTTTGCCTCGTAGATATTCTGTGTCAACAATATTATTATTATTATTATTATTATTATTATTATTATTATTATTATTATTATTACTTTTTGGCTTTTCATTTCATTTGTACATAATGTGAATTCCTAAAAACATTTTTGGTGATTAAATCACTACAAGCTAACATATGATTAAAAGTCCAAAGCTAATTTTAGCAGTTTCAGTGTTTAATCAAGCCCTTCCCGGTGTCATTATGAGGACTGTGAAAGTTTTGCTTTTTAAATCACCCACTACACTAAGGGTTTCAAACTGAAATGAGCCGTGGGCCACGGCTGGTACCGTCATCTCATTGGAGGGCCACTTTAGTGTTCAAGAAGCATAAAAACAAACAAACGCCCACAAATATTTCTGAAAACGTCGTGTTTTGTTTGTTCTTTTAAATTTTGATTATTGTATAACAAAACAAAACTGCAAACATGAACACAATTTCTTTTTCTCACTCTTAACTAACCGAAGCCTTTCATTGAACTACCAAATAAACACATTGGCGCTCTCATTCTGGTCAGATACGTGGCAACACTTCTGCTATAATTTTGTTTGTATTTAACAAAATAAAAATGCAGACATAAATGTACACGTTAGTTTTTGACTGTAGTGAAAATTGTTTTCTTTAGAAATAAGTCTCTCACTACTGAACTAACACTGTGAATCCCTCAACAGGTTTGTGCTCTCTGCTCATATTGCATTCATATTAATTTTTTTTCTTTTTAAGAACTTATTTTAACATTGCACTCAACAACAAACAAACTCTCGTAACAAAAAAAGTAACTTCAAGTACCAAACTGCATTATATTTCGTCACGTCGATATATGGGCTGCAAGTACGGGTGACGTGTGCCACAAGTGGCCCCCGGGCCACATGTTTGAGGTCCCCGTATTATACTGTATTCCATTATCAGACTATTTGTAAACAAAAAACATGAAATACGTCTTTATGAGGGCACACACTACTGTTGGCTATACTATTATTGTAGCACAAAGTACCTTGAGGTACCTGCATAAATAAATACAACTGAACTGAATTGAATATTTCTCTCTCCCTTGACCCACTCTTTATGCAATAATATACACAACTCCTTAGTATCTTATAAATGAAGACATAAACACAAATTGTAATCAGACTCTTTATTTAGATGTTTGAAAATAAAGAGCCACTGCCATCAGATGCAACGAAGAAATGTCTGCTCTCACATGCTTGTGAGTAAATTTAATGTACATTTTAATGGTACATGCTCACACATTAAACAGACAAGCAAAAACCAAATATAAAAAGAAGTATTTAAAAACAGCAAGTAAGACAATAATCCAAATCACTATCAATATTGAACCAGTTTAATAAATCATAGATTTAAACTTGTGGCTGCTCAGTCAGATTTTACAGAAAGTTTAAATACACAAACTTTACTACTCATCCAAATCACACATTTAAGTTTCAAAGAGCTTTTACTCTTTCTAATTAACTGCTTTTTCTTTTTACAAGACCCTGATTTACACAGAGGGAGGTTGGGAGTACTTAACATCATAGCTAGTCTCCTTTTTGAGTGGCCAGGAGCTGCAAAGGAGACTTCCACCCAGTATCAGCAGCCCTACAGACACCCACCCGATGTGGAGCGCAGCTCCCATTCTGTATTCTTCATTGTAGGATTCATGAGCTATGGTGATTGTGGTCCAGCAGACTGGTATGAGCACCAAGACACCTGCAATGATGAAGGCAATTCCAGAAACAAAGGCCTCTTTAGTCTTTTGCCTTTCATCCTGATCATTGGTGGTGCAGTTGCCCCCTACCACACCAAGCATGATACCAAAAACATTGATGATGATGGCCATGATGGTGAGCACTCTGGCAGCCTTCAGTTCTTGAGGTACATCCAGAGAAATATAAGCTTCACATGCTGTCCTGTAGTAATAGTAATAGTCCTGACTCTCACAGTACTTCCACAAACCCAGCCCATTATTCTGAGCAAATTTCCAAGTGGAGCCGATGCAGATGGCCATGCATCCAAGAGAGCCGAAGATGGCAAAGACCAAACCCAGAAGCTGCCTTCCACTAGCCTTCATTATAATGATTTCTTGGCGTATTCTTGAGAGCTGCAGTAGCTTATCTGTGAGCAAAGAGCTGAGTGGGAAGTGGTTTGTAGGTGGTTTTTATAACCAGAGATGTCTGTAGCTTCCTCAATGAGTATTCACATATTTAAAGTTTGCTGATTATTTAGTACTACCCTTTAGCTAAAAAACTGTTTCTAAATGAAACATAGTGTTACAGAGATGCATGTACCAAAAGAGGCACAAAGATATAATTGCTTATTTTATCATTTGAAATATTTTGAAAAAGCTCTTTTTTTAGTCGAATGATACTAACTATTCTAAATGAACTGCTATATGTCCCCAACAGATAATAGTGGAAAAAATAACACTACTTCAGGGGTACTTTAGTTTCACTGTCAACTTTTCATTTATTAAGATTGAAGGTGATAAAACACAACCAAAATCAAATATTTTTCACTGAAAAGTGTGAAATTTATTCACAGCAGATGCTAAAGTAGAGTTTGAAGGAAGAACAGGTGATTTTCAGAGTGACTTCACTGTCTCTCTGGACTGGCATGTAGCCATGTGTGTGTGTGTGTGTGTGTGTGTGTGTGTGTGTGTGTGTGTGTGTGTGTGTGTGTGTGCGTGTGTGTGTGTAACGATCTGGAAGCAAATCATGTGTGGCGAGTTAAGGACCCAGGAGCAGGCGACACAGGAAGACAGGAACTTAATGAAAAGTGAAAACATGTGCCAGGAGTAGAAATAACTCAGCAGGAAAAACCACGACTAAACTAAGTAACAGAAAACTAAAACATAACAATACAACAGAAAGAAATCATAAACTTAAAATGCTGGGTCGAATGACCCAGAACCATGACAGTGTGAATATCAGTCTTCTTTAAAGAGAAAATGAAAACACTAATGGATTCTCACACAAACACTTTCCTCGTGTTTGACAGGTAAACACACTCACATTATAGACATTGTAGACTTCTAAGTATTTATAAAAAGTAACCAATCTAATGTGGTAATATATGCTACTATATGTATGATTTCCACCGATGTACGATCTACAGTAATTTCTTTATTTTTGTACAAGTTTTCCCAAGCTTCTCCAATCCTGCTTTAAAACTGGAAATGCCACATTTCCCTGTGGGTAAACTAATAATAACAGTGTTGGTATAATTGAATATATTATAGGATAAGAAAATGTTATAATTTAATTGTTAAATATGAATTAAACATTTCACAACACATTTATTTAGAAAAAGACAAACAGACCATCCAGTGTCTTTTTTTCTATGTTTGCATTCAGAGGTGAAAAAACACCAACATCTCACACACTGAGGTTATAATTTGGCATGCAAAGGCAAACTACTACATGTTTTTAAAGTGGAAAAAAATATCTACACAAGAATTTTTGTGTTTCCCCTCACAACTAGAACAAAACATTAGCATTAAACAAATGTTATCAGTCTTCACATGTGAATGCTGGGTTTGATACTAACATGTTATTTCATTTCATTTAGCGCAGAAAATGTGTGCAGAAAGTAGGTTGAACTATTTATAGGACAACTTGGAGATAGCAGCTCAATGTTCTGTGGCAGTGGTTTGCTATTTAATGTCAGTTTAGTTTAGCTTTGCCTAGGAGCACTTTCAAAGTAATAAAGAAAATCAAAACTGACTCTTCTTTCATATGATTTTTAATTTGTGGTTTAATGTATTACAAAATAACTTTCTTTAATGTTGAACTAGACTGCATATGCAACTACATTTATTAACTATGATGAACATGTGTTTCCTGCAGTACATGTAGCCTGTTGCTTGAATGATAAAGCGTAACCACAGACCGACACACACGTATACAGACACTAATTGCTTGGTTTTTACAACAAATATTTTACACTGTAAATTAGAAATGCAAAAAATGAAGCTCAACAGTGTTGTCTTTATTAAAAATATTTTCCTCTCCTCTTGATCTTCAATGAAAAAAAAACTTAATTCTCATTAGTCTTTTAAATCATGAGAGATCTACATAAACACAAATACATTCTGATTATGTTTATTAAACCTTCACAGAAAAAGATCCATCATGATCAGATAAAAAAAGTAAATATACACCATCACTTATAAAATTTTACTGGCATGCAATCTTACATAAAGAAGGAAAAGAAAAGAAAAATGAGGACACTATTCACACCGTGGATACAAATCAGTGACAGCAGTTCAGTGATGAAAGAGTAATCACAGACCTGACCTACACTTAAAACATTGGTTTCCCTGTCAGACTTTTTTGAAAGTTGAAATGAAGAAGACTACCTAGAAAAACCCCTGTTTCTATACCTATGATATAATATAAAAAGAGACTAAAAGAAATATTTGTTTTACACAATTACACTGCAAACATTTTTGCCTGTTTTGGTCACATTCCATGCTTTATTTTTTTACTCAGTCAAGAAAAATACAGTAAAGCTTTTCTAAAACATTTCTCTTGATCCCTAGAGACTGTATACATTTAAATTTATTTAGTTTATAGAAGTATTTATATATTTTTACACAGAGCTAGGTTTGGAGTATTCATTCTCATTACTGCGTGAACAAAAGAAGCAGAGGAGGCTTCCTCCCAGTAACAGCAGCCCTGCAGATGCCCAGCCGATGTAGAGTGAGGCTCCCATCAATGGAGGTCCGTAGTAAGACGTTTTCGCCATGGTGAGAGTTGTGATGGTGCTCCAGCAGATTGGAATGATCACCAGGACACCTGATATGATGAAGATAATTCCAGAAGCTATAGCCACTTTGCTATTTTTCCTCTTATTTGACACCAAGTTGGTGCAGTTGCCCCCGACAACACCAACTATGACTCCAAAGATCCCGACAATGATGGCGAAGACGATGAGCACTCTGGCAGCCTGCAGGTCTTGAGGTAAGGCCAGCAGAGAATCATAAGATTTGCACTCTGTTGTTGGTCGTGGATAGTAACTATAATCAAAGTTACAGGACTTCCACAAACCCTCTGATTTCCTCCACTCAGGGGATCTCCATGTGGGGAGAGCACAGCTTATGATGCTCCCCAGGACTCCGAAAATGGCCAAGACCAAACCTAGAAGCTGTCTCCCGCCAGGTTTCATGATGAAGTTTTCTTGAGCTCTTCAAAGAGGAAAGACAGTGTGTTCTTGAGAGTTGCAGTAATTTAGAAAAGAGCTGGGCAGGAAGTGGTTTTTATGTGTTTTTCATGATCAGAGGAGCTGACTAGTTTCCAACTCACTAATCATGCTGTTAAAGGAAAAGACAGATTGTTGCCTTTAAGCTGAAAATGTTCTCTGAAGGAAACCCAGACTCTCAGAGAGGCATAAAATGTAAAAAGTATAATTAGAAAAAGGTTGCAAAGGAAATCGCAAGTTTTTGTTAATTAAATCTAAAGAAAATTACAATTGGATTATATTTTTTTTAAATGGTCTGTGGCAATCCTGGTTTAAGTTAATTAAATTAAAGTCTTTAATGATTCAGCATTTTGTGACTAAATACAAACAAAATCAAACATTATTGTTTCCTCATAAATAGAGGAATATAAATTCCTTCATTCTCACTGAAATGTGAGATTTACTCATAGCAGATGCTGATGTAGAGTTCCGAGGAAGAAGATGTGACTACAGATTATCTTCATTACCAGTAGATACTTGTAGTTCAGTCACTGATATGTAGCTGCAACGATGATAACAGACTCATCTTCATCACCGGATGTTCTCGTTGCAATTTGTTGCTTTGTGCCTGGTTCAACTTGTGATCATGTGTTTTAAATGAAGTGGCATGTCCTTTATGCTCAGTTTACTTAAATTTAGAGGGGAACATCCACATGGTCTGAAACTTTTATTCAGTGCAGTTTACTCATCTGTTGGCTCGTACTCAGATGAGATCATCTAATGATCTTATGTAATCCATGTGCTTCTGTGTGCTCACATTGGATACGTTTTAAAAATCTTCTTCAGGAACTAAAGTTGGTTAATGTGATATGTCCAATAAATTTCTGTCATAAAATTGTTTTTATTGAAACTATATCATCTATACTCAACCTATTCAAGATGTACATGGTGAGATTAGTTGTCTCACCCACACAGAACAACCAAAAGTAAAGGAGCTGCCAGTATACAGGGTCTCTGACTGTCTGTCTTTCTTTACTCTCATTTTGTGTTTAACTCTCTTTTCAGTTTCAGTTAATTTAGTGATTGATAGATTTAATTGTATATAGGTAAACTGACGATGGCCGAGGCCAAATCAAGAAACTGTCTTCCACCGCTTCAAAGAGGAGGGGTGATGTGGTCTGAGTGCTCCAGTTATTTAACAGTGAGCGGCAGCTGAGCAGGAACTAGTTTTTATGTGGTTTTCACACTTGAAACCACTCGAGTGGCTTCCTTACTCGCTCGCTCACATTGCATGAGAAAGCACACATTAGATTGTACTGATGCTGCAATCTCCAAGCCACAAATTAAATATAGATATATTACTTAGAACATGTGAATACCAATGTTGTTGACAGCCATACGGCACATTATAAAATATGACTGTCATTTAAAATAGTTTTGACTTCTCTTGAATTATGGATAAAAGAAGAGCCGAGTATGAGAATGCAGGTAAAAATAAGACCTTTGTGCAGTAACTTTTCTTTTGCATGAGAGTTGGAAAGAGTTCACTTAGCTCTCAGTATCTGCACATCGTGTGAAAATGTCATTTACACTTTATGCTCTCGTTGCACTCTTTATAGGATCTCAAAGTGTATATATTTACACATGCAGCCTCCTCTTCTCGTGTTGGTTAATTGGACTCTCACCACCATATGTGTAAATTTAAGTGTGAATGGTTGTCTTCTGTATCTGTGTTAGCCCTGTGACAGACTGCCCAGGGTGTACACTGCCTCTTGCCCTAAGACAGCAGGGATAGGCTTAAAGCCCTCCTGCAACCCTGAAAAGGATGAATGGAAGGATGGACATAGTGTGTCCTTGAGAGCTGTAATTTTTATCTGTGAGGGAAGATCTGAGCAGGAAGTGGGGTCATACGCTGTCAATTTTTCAGTCAGTGTTCTGCTTCTTCATAAATAAAAACCAGTTCATAAGCAACTCTCCCCACAAATTGTCAACATAATATTTTCACCCCAAAAATATGTGTTAAAGGACCACTGCGGTACCCAGATGTCAGAGAGAACTGCCAAAACACGTACATCTGTAGAGGGGGCAATCATAATGAGGTATTTCGTAATTTGCCGATTCAAGCTGCTCTTCATATTTTTTGCCACCAGATGTCACCAAAGAGGATTGTGTTGAAAATCTGTGAGTAATTCGGTGCTTCAGGAAGCTTTATTTGACCATATCTACTTAGCCTTATACCAGATTTAATGACTCCATTCAGAAAAGGTGCAGAAAGTTCTTCTCAAGCAGGAAGACTCCTGCTGTGGGCAGACCAATGGAACAGAGCAAGTTTTACTGTAAATTTAAACCTTAAACTACAAAGTGAGCTCAGCGTAACCAGGGTAACTGTCAATTATCTGGGTTCACTTTCCCTAACGCTGGCAAACGGGATAAGCAGTCACACAAAGTTGGATATCAACTTGCTAATTTTAACCACGCTGTGCTTTTCACATTAATTTGTTTTTTAAATCAGAGACTGAAAGAAAAATGAAGGAAAAGACGAAAGCGTTTGTATTCCTTTTTTTCCTGTCACAGTTTTAGTTTCTGAATCTTTAGGACGAGCATGGTTTGCGCTGGTGAAATTCAGGAGAATTCCTTCAAAAAGGTGTTGTTAGCATAAAAATCTGGTGTTGCAGTCTTGTGCTTGTGTCAGTTACTAGTGTTTTTATTTCACAATATAAAGAATATAGGGAAATATATTTTATCTGAAATCAGATAAATGTGAATACATCTTCACAGCATTACAAGTACACGTGATTGTTTATTTTGTTTGTATTTTCACACATATATTTACATTTATTCTGAAATGTACTGGTAAATATATTGAAATGTATTAAATATATATAAATCCTTATATTTTCTTTCTTGTTGTGTGTAACTGGAGTAGGCTAAGCAACCGTCAGCAAAAAGCCTGCTGAAACGGCTTTGCGGTTAATGAGCTTTGCGTTTAGCCACTTTAACAAAAAAGGAACCAAAAAGAGAAATAAAAAAATACACATCATTTTACATGCTCAGAAATATATATTCTCATTTGAGATAAGTCTTACTTGTATACAATCACATAAACAGATGATACTAAAAGATAAAACATAGACTTAAACCAGTGGATACAGAGTCAGATTTTATAGCATTTTTAAATGCACATGCTTTGTATGATTTTACACAAAAAAGGAACGTCTCTTTTCATACAACAAAGTGAACAACACAAATAATAAATTTTTAAAAAATGCAAAGGTGGTTATAATGGTGTAGGATACAACAAAACGGATTTAGAAGCAAGTTACATAACCAAACTGCAAAATTTTTCTTTTTTAATCTGATTTTATACTTTGTTAATCTACTCATTCAAAGGACAAAGTAAAGATGAAAACTTTCAGAAAACCTTTTTCTTATTTCCAATAGACTGCTCGATGTATAAAAATAAGCCTTATTACATATGGCCTTGCTTACATGGTAAGAGTTGGAGTACTTAATGTTTTAGTCAGTTTCTGCCCTGCAGAAAAAGGAGCTGCAGACGAGGCCTCCTCCCAGGAACAGAAGGACGGCGGTGAACCAGCCAATGCAGAGCGAGGTTCCCCACTCCATCTTCCTAAGCATCCCATGGTGAGGATCATAAGGAGACTGGGCAGGATGAAAATGATCACTGATGGTGTTGGCTGTCCAGCTGACTAGTATGAGAACAAAGAGGCCTGCAATGAGGTAGGCAATTCCAGAAGTCAGAGCCATTTTGCTCCTTTGCCTTTTAATTGGCACAAAGTTAATAAACTTGCTCCCAGCTGCACCAAGCAGCATCGCAAGGAGCTCAATGATAATGGCAATGATCATAAGTACTCTGGCAGCCCTCAGCTCTTTAGGTAATGGTATGTGCTCGTAATCCATACACACACCAAAGGATGAGCTTTCTGCGAATTCACATTTCTTCCACAAACCCTCTCCACAGCAGGAGTACACTGTGGTATCTTTGAAGTCTGTTATGATTTATCTTTATATTTAAATTAATTACTTTTTCAAAGTAACTTGCCCAACACTGGATGCAATACATTTAAAAATCCAAACAAAAGAAAACAAACATTTTTAATTGGCTTCTTTCAGAAAAACAGCCACCAAAAAGACATCTTTAAAAACACTAAGCAAAACTCAAAATGCCCAAAACATGATCTCATTCTCTTATTAACCGACAACTTAATGTGACAATTTTACTGTTACAATACAATCATACCTAATCAAAAAACTGCAAACAAATACTGCAGAAAGGTATTCTCAATGCAACTGCAAATGAATAACACAATCAATATTGAACAGTTTAATAAAGAAAAAGTCAAAGATCAGATCTGGATTTAAGATACACAATCATATTTTATAGAGGTTTTGAATGCACATGCTTTTGATCTTTACAAAGATAACAGAAAAAAAGGGAAACTGTGTCCAAATTCTTATAGTAAATAGCATAAACAGTAAACATAATAAGAAAAACTGTCTGGTATAAAATACAACAAAATATATCAAGAATTAAGTTACATCCACAAATTGCCGAAAGTTTTTCCTATTTTAATTACATTTTAAACTTTCTTGTACTACTCATTCAACCTTTTTTTTTTCTTTTTAACAGACTGCTGGATTTCAAAGCTTAGGTTAATATGAGTAACTAAGTAACTGCTCTTTGTAAAAAAGACTATTTACAAAGAGTGAGGGTTGACATACTCAACATCTTGGTCAGTTCCATCTCTGCAGATAAAGGAGCTGCAGAGGAGGCCTCCTCCCAGGAACAGAAGTGCTGTGGTGATCCAGCCAATGTAAAGCAAGGCTCCCGGTTCACTCTTTACACGGTCACCCTGCAGAACATAGGTGATGGTGATGGTGGTCCAGCAGACTGGTATTAGCACAAAGAGGCCAGCAAAGAGAATAGCAACTCCGGAAACCATAGCTATTTTGCTCTTTTTCATTTCATCTGGCACAAAGTTGATGAATTTGCTCCCAACAACACCGAGCAGGATCCCAAAGACACCAATAATAATGGCAATGATGATGAGCACTCTGGCAACCTCAAGGTCTAGACTTATATAGAGTCGTTTTCCATATTGTTTGCACTCCACATGCTCTGCACTGACGGTATCACAGGCTTTCCACAAACCTTCAGATTGCACGTTGTTCGATGATTGATGGTCGACTTTATGCACTGTCCATGTGGGAAGAGCACAGATGCTAATGGTCCCCACAAAGCCAATGATGGCCAAGGCCAGGCCCAGAAGCTGTCTTTCACAAGCCACCATGATGACGCTGAAGCACCTTTACTCTTCAAAGAGTAAAGGTGATGTGTTAACAGGAGATTCAGGAATTTATCTGAAGAGCTGAGAAGGAAGTGGTTATCATTTGGTTTTAATACTCAGAATTCTACTGTGGCCTCCACGGTTCCTGTTCACACTTCTACAGGAGATGACAGCTTTTAGTGTTGCCTCTGAGTTGAAACTGGTTTCTAAAGAAAGTGACACATAACGGCAAAAAATAGCACACAGAAGAACTAATAATAATTTGACTTTGAAAAATGCAAGTAGTATTTGATTGGAACCTACTAAATGTGCATCATCATTGCTGAAAAATGCCACATCTCTGTTACAATTTTAATCTCAGTGTTAACTTTTTATTCACTTTATCACAAAGTCACTAAGTAAATTATTTCAGTGCAAATAAAGAAATCAAAATTTGTTCAGGATCACTAAAATTAGTGAGATTTATTCACAGCAGATTGAGCCTTGTGTTGTTATATTGTTAATCTCAATCCTTCTGAAGAAATGCTGTGTTTAAATTAAAGTGGAAACTATGATTGAGAACTTCATATACATGTGAGATCAGTAGTCTGTGTGTGTGTGTGTGTGTGTGTGTTTAATGCATGGAAGTAATAATTGCATACAGAATATATTTCTGAAGCAGTGGGAGAAAGATGAGAAACAATACCCTGTGTGAAAAGCAGTTTCACTGCAGAATATAGTGTGAGAAATACAACCACACAAAGCCGGCAACACATTAGGCACCAAACCAAACCTTTTCTGGTGTTATATCACGCCTGTTTACTGGCAACAATTGTTAATGTTTTTTAATTCCTTTGATTTTCTTTCACTTTGTTTGTGCTGTTAATTGTTAATTCTTGTATATTTTAATCTTTATGTTTATGTTTTACTAACAGTTTTCTTCTTTCCTTTCTCTCCCGATTTCCCCTACAGAAAATTAATGATACGAATGTGAATGTCGTGGTCCTGGCTCTTTTGACCCAATGTTCTTCTCAACTTGCTGAAAAAACATTTTAACAAAAAGTCTGTTTCATGCAGAGTGGCCAAGATGCTGATGTTGTTTCATAACCAAATAGTGCAGCCTATAGTGTTAGGGTGATTTTGGTAAAAGTTGTCATTGTACTTAAATTTGTAAACCTTGTCCTGAACTGCATGTTCAGATATTTTTCTGTCCCTTTCTTACTTGTAGGATGGTGGAGGAAGTTATAGCTATAGTGTTTAACTGCAGGCACATTTCATGTAAGGTCCTGGTTTTCTTATTTGGTAAGGAATGTAAGGACACTGGTTTTTTTTTAGTTGTCTGGGATCAGGTGAGGAGCTTTCAGCTCTAAGACCCTGATCCGATCGGCTCCCCTTGCAAGTTGAAATAGATTGATCTCTGATTGTCTTGCTTTGTTTATGGGGATAAATCTTTGAACCAGCGAGGCCTGCAAGTGCAGACCTAGTGTTAGGGTTTTTTGTTTGGTTTTTCTGTTTTTTGTTTTTAACAAGAGAGAAGACAAATATACTCCAATTATAATGTAGCGGCACGAGGAGGGGAGGAAAGGATTTGACTGGGGCAGGTTAACACTGAACCTACATCCTGTCGACAGACACCAAATTGTAGCGGTGCGAGGGATTACGGAGGGGCGCTACCTGGGGGAAGTTACACCCCAGGAAAGAATATTAGATTTTGCGCTGCATTCGCAGACTTCACTACAATTAACCCCCGGGATTTGAATCATTGTCCTGACTATTGACATTTACTGCCAAGGTCTAAACGGTAGGGGTGCAACGATACACAAAATTCACGGTTCGGTTCGATACTTTGGTGTCACGGTTCGATATTTTTTCGATACAAAAAAATGTTCATTCTTTTTTAATTTGTCATTTATTAAAATTATAAATATATATTTTAACTCAAAAGTACAGTTTTTATATGTAATGTTGCTGAAACAACAAAGTAATAAAATAAATAAATAAATCTATCTGATCGAGAAATCACTCATATTTGGAAAAGAGAGTTTATTACAGAGAAATGGCTCTTTCCAAAATAAAAGCTATAGTATACGCTTCTTTTGGGCTATATTCTCAGCAGCATATTAAACATATCAGGTCCCCATAAGGAGAATCATGTGCTAATGGCTGTCTAAATGACTCGGGTAAAGTTTGTAGCATGCGTGCTTGTTGTTTTTGTCTGCTTCCACTTTGCACTAGGATGATGTTGGAGTAAATGTGCAGTGATATTCATTGTGTTCCCACTAGTGCTGTCAGCGTTAATCTCATTAAAATGACATTAAAGCCATAACGTCGCAAATCTTCGTTAACGAGTTTCCGCGGATCGCCCCATGTGTGGGGCTGGATGGCGTCAACACGTTAACGATCTAACTGCGTTAACGCACTAGGTCCCACAAATGTAACTGAGCATTGCGTGGCACATCCAACATACTGTTTTACTTTTGTCCATGACGCGCTAACATCAGGGTCATGCTTCACATGAAAACCAAGATAGTTCCATACGCCAGAGCTGAATGAGGGTGGGGGAGGTTCAATTTCGGGTAGCATTGAGGCAGTTGCCATGTTGCAACGAGCTTAACTTCTGTCTCGCTAGCTTGCGCTGCGCTCAGTGGATCTGCGCTCGACAGTGCAGCCTAGGCGGAGTAGTCGAACGCATCGTAAGAAGAAAAGTTGATAAAATAAGTAAAAAAATTTGTATTGTTCGATACCGATACGAGTATTGTTGCACTCCTACTAAACGGGGTAATTGTATTGGGCACCAGTACCTGGGGACTCCCAGCCTTGATTGCTCTACTCCCTGCTACCTGGCGAAGATTATGCGGATTCGAGTGTGTCCCAGCATTAGCCCAAGTAGTCCTACGTAAAGGGGCTACACCATTCTGGACGTCAGCAATACCTGGCAACGGATTTGTGCAAACTGACACCACAGTGGATGTTAAGGGTTCTAGCTAGCCTGATCTACGTGGGCGAGGAGTCTCCAGTCTTGGTTGGCAATTTCTTGGGGCCAGATTAGGTTCAAAAACCAATAAAAACCACTCACAACCTTGCATAGGTTCCTCTATAGGGGCAGTTTCTAGTAGTTGAACTGGAGCACTGAAGGGACAAAGGCTCTCAAATTCCTTCTTTAATTGTGAACAGCGAACATGTTTCACGTGACTCGGGTTATCTACCAGAGCAACAGTGTACATGGACCCATTTTGGTAAGGGGCCTCAAGCACTTTATACACCACTTAACTCCAAACACCCTGAATTTCATGACGGCCTCTAAGCCCAACTTCCTTCAGGTAAACCAACTGACCTTCTCGCAGGGGAGCATCCTTTACACACTGGTCGTGGCACGTCTTACGCCAGTTAGCTGCAGGGATTTGCTTTGGTCGGGATGCCAGCAAATGACCCACATAAACATTAGGATGGGTTTGTGCATCTTTAGCCGACTCCTGGCGCCACTTTTGGATGTCTCCATACATCCCTAACCAGTATCACCATTGAGAAACCACATCTACTGTTCTCCGAACACCCTGATAACCGTACTACAAAACCTGACCCTGAAGGGATTTGGGCAACAATACCTGCGGCGCCTCTCCTCTCCTACGATGACGCCATCCCGCTCCACTGACCTACGCCACTGCCTGGCCAACCCGAGAGCCCGCCTTGAAGTGCGACCACGCTCCTTGGCATCAGGCCACCATCTCGGTTTCCAATCAAGGGGTCAGTCTCCTGTAAAACACGAAGGTCAGACAATGCATACCCAGGGAAGACAGAGGTAGTGGCTTGAACAGCAGGGGTTAGTGGTTTCCTACCAATAACCTGGGGCAAAGGGTCAGGCACCACAGGCTGTGAGCCTAGGACGCCCCAACCGAACCTCGACTCAATGGTTCACCGGGCGGAAGTTTCCCTGAATGGAAGAGCAAGCAACATTACTTGAACAGGCCTGCGCTGGATTGCGTAGGCATAACTGTGGGCTCGCCAGGGCACTCTCTGGCAAAATGCTCAACCTTCTGGCACCGTCTGCAAATTACGGCCATATTACAGGATATGGCAGGATATGGTTAGGATAAGCACTATTCAAAGCAGCTCCTTGCGAGCTAATTCAACTGCTCTTGCTGACTTTTAACAATCTCTTTTAACTCCTGTAATTCAGATTCATAGGCTGCAATACCTGCCGGACTACCTCTAAAAGGCACCTCCTGGACAGTGTGCTGAAATCCTAACACCAGGGGAACCGAGTAACTTCTATCCTTCCCGCCCCCTGGCATACCTTCACGCTCCCATAATATAGCCTCATATTTGATTTGTCTGTGCTCAAACCATCTTCCCCTAGATTTGAGAATCATAGACTCTAACTGCTGGGTTGAGATTAAATTAAGTTCAGTTTGTAAAGTTTATCTTTGTTTATACGTATCTGGAGAGGGGGTTGTAGAGTGTTGCTCATCCAATTGCGAAATAAGATACATCAATTCAGATAGACGTTTCTGTTTTCTAGTATATGAACAGTATGATATAATATTGCCCCGTAAGAATGCTTTTAAGTTTTCACAAACTGTACTGTAGGCCATGCCAGGCGTACGGTTTGTTCTTATAAAGATATCAATTTGTTTGGAATGATATTCCACAAACTCTTTATCTGACAAAAGAAGAGGATTGAGTCTCCAGGAGTACACAAAGGGATCATCCGGGAAGCTGAGTTCCAAAACAAGTGGACTGTGATATTACTGTGCTATTGTATTTACAAGTCTTGAAGCAATTTTTTGTCGAAAAAAAGTAATCCATATGAATCTTTTCTCTGAGGAGCAATCTAGTGCTAGATCCGTAACAGTATTCATGGCTCTTCCAAGGACCAATTGGTGTGTATCAATCTGTGGAAGGGAATTAAGAAAGTAACTGAAAAATTTTGAGTTATTCCCATTCGGAGCACTCAAAAAAAGTGAAGTATTAAAAAGGAATCCTGTCACAACTACATATCGACCACCTGGGTCAGCTGTTGTGTG